AAATCCTAAGAAATGTGCTCAAGTGGAGAAGACACAGTCAAAGAATTACAAGATTCAACCTTCCCTCATTGTAGTTATGACTATATCTACATATCTATCTATCTATCTAGATGTAGATGTCTCACAAAAGGGATAACGGGAATTCCAGAACCAGAACTTGCTTTGGAAAAAGTAAAGATCAGGCTGAGTCAACCTGAAAAGGACACTAGATTTAAAGGGGATTTGAAAAAAAAAATCATCTGTTGGTCTCAGAACATTCTAAGCTGTTCCCAAAGAATAGTGTATGTAGTATTTTGATCTGGTGTATTTCTCCTTCACGATCTAGTTTATAGCCCAGCTTGGTGGGTAGGAAGGGTCTTAGTCACAAGGAACAAAGGTGGCTGAAGAAAGCAGGGAACAGTCAGACCTCTGGGTTCATAATTGTGTTAAAAAGCTAGCTTCCTGAAAACAAAGGCCAGCTCACCAAAGGGCTAGATCTGCTGTTGTTTTCTGAATGATTTGGATTTTGCCCCTATATCTGATCATGAAGAACTGGAAATGGCACTGAAGCAGGAAGAATTACGAAGAGCTGATGCACCTAAGTACATACAAAAGAAATCTATCTATAGTTAACATAATTTTAAAGGCATGTAGAAATTGATCATCAGGTTCTCAAAGACAGAAAGATTCTAAACAAACGGGAAAAAATGTAGATGGTGCTTTTAACAACAACAAAAGACAATCAGTAAATACCAACCCAGGTGCCTGATTTTTCAACTCCATAGTAGTATCTCATATTTTTATGATATCTTACACTTAATAATAGCTAGCATTTATGTAGCACCTAGTATATGCCAGGCACTTTACAAATATTATCTCATTTGATCCTCACAAAAACTCTGGGAGGTGGGTGCTGTTATCCACATATTACAGTTGAAGTCACTGAGGCAAACAGGTTAAGTGACTTGCCTAAGATCACAAAGCTAGTAAGTGTCTGAAGCCAGATTTGAACTCAGGTCTATCCTGAGTCCAGGCCCAAGCCTCCATCCATTGTATCTCCTAGCTACCTAACTTTACAAAGCATTTTCCTCACAATAACTTTGGGAGTTAGATAATGCAAATAAATGTATTTTATAAATGAGAAAACTATGACTTGAAATGTTTTTTGTGGCTTGCGCACAGTCACATATGTCAAAAGTGTCAGAGCCGGGACTGAATCACAAGTCTTCTGACTCCACAATCAACTCCATCTCCCGTGTTTTGGTCTGCATATCCCCAGCACCCAATCAAGTGCCTTTCCACATTTTGGACATTTAATAAATGCTTGTTGCATGCAACCAATCCATTGATATGTTTACCTTGGATGGGTTGAAAACAACCATGTTGGCCCAAAATGAAGAACATTAAGAAGGGCATAGCTTCCAAGAACAGAGAAAAGATTGTCCCACTATACTCAACCCTCATTGGACTTCATTTGAAGTATCATTTTGAGTTCTAGGAGCCATGGATTGGAGAGAAGAAGAGAAGAGAGGAAGGAAGTTCAGTTAGGAGAAAACTGCAGCAGTGTAAGTGTGTGGGGTAGTAATGAGAGCTTGGACTAAGGTAGTAGAAACAGGAATATCATTGAAGTGATGGATGTGAGTGATATGGCAGAGGCAAAACAGGACTTGTCAACTGATTTGACGTTAGAGGTAAAAGAGTAGAAAGCGTTAAAGATTATACTGTGTTAACAGAAGATTGGGCAAATATTAGCGCCCCCTAACAGAAATTGTAAAACTAGAAAAAGGAGCAGATTTGGGGGGGGGATAAAAAAACCACAGTTATAGATGTGATGAGTTTATTCAATTCCACAAATGTTGAATGGGCAAGACACTACTCTAGAGGAAATAAGGATAACTACATCCTAGACTCTGATCTCAAGGAACTTACAGTCCAGTGAGGAGAGTCATGTACACAGGTCACCATGATATAAAGGATAAAGGAATAAATGTGAACCAAAGATGTAGGCAGTGTCATGAAAAAATTGAAAAGGAAAAGAATACTTTCTGCTTGGACTTCATAAGCTGGACCTTAAGGGAAGGAGAGCATTTAAACAAAAACTCCAAAAATGTAGGGGGGGGAAGTGGTATGGGAAGTCCAGTTCAGGTCTAGTTGGGTAGTATGAGCAAATACAGGAGGAGAGGAAAGACAAAGATGACAGAGTTTAGAGACAGTAATCCTGTTTGAGTAAAACTGTAACACAAAGCATGTGAACAGATAAGCCTGTACATTTAAGTTAGAAACTAAATGTGGGCTAAACTAAAATAGGATCAGAAATTTATGCTTATTAGGAGGCAAAAGGGAGCTACTGGAGTTTTTTGAGTAGATGATTTACATGATCAGAACAGCACATTGGGCAACATTATGAAGGCGTGATCAGAGAGGGAATAAACCAGCAACGGAAAGAGCAGTTAGAAGCCAAATAATTGAGACAATAAGAGATGAGGTAAATCAGATGCCCTAGGGGTGGAGGAGAGGGGACCAATGTAAGAGATTGATAATTGAGTCTACAAGACTTGTCAACTGATTGAATGTAGAGTGAGAGAGAAGAAAAAAAATTGAATGACTACAAGATAAGTCTGGGGACTAGACAGATCTAGACTAGTTATATGAACATAAACAGAGAAATTTGGGGGGGGGGAACAAATTTGGAAACAAGATGAGTTCAGTTTTGGAGATGTTGAGTTTGAAGTGCCAGATGGCCATCCTGGTGGAGATGTCCTTTGGAGTTAGGCAACTGGTGATTCAGATATGGAGCTGAGAAGATAGCTGACATAGATTTAGACAGAGATTTAGGAGTCATCTGTGTAGAAGTGATGGTAAGAGCTGTGGGAACAATGATATTGACAAGAAAAACTGGTAAAGAGTAAGGACAAGAGAAGCAAGGAGAGATCACTGGGGAGCACAAATATTAATAGATGTGAAAGAGGAGCAAGGAAACAAAGAAGGGACCATTAGAAAGGTAACAGGAGAAACAAGCAACTGATCTGGCTCAGCTTCCAGCCTCTATGCAAGATTATACCTATAGATAAGCATCTGTCCTCTTTTATGTTGTTAGAAAGCAAGAGAGGAAGAATATCCAGAAGAACAGGATGGTCAAGGACATTCATTACATGCTACAGAGACTAAAGATAAGGACAAGGGAAAAAAATCACTGGATTTGGCAATATCATTCATTTGGTATTTATGGGTAATCATAGAATCTAGACCTGAAAGGAACCTTAGGGATCATCTTGTCCAACCTTTCCTTTTACAAAAGAGAAAACAGGCTCAAAGAAGGGAAATGATTTGCCTAAAGTTACTTAGTAAGTGGCAGAACCAGGATTCAAACTCAGATTCTCTTATTTTAGATCCAACGCTTTTTCCAGTATACTACACTTACTTTCCTGAATTTTGAGTTCTTTTTCCACGTGTATATCTTCTCTCCCTGGCTGAATGATATGTTCCTTGACGATCTGGAACATTCCTTCTATGATTTTCTATTTCCCTATAAAATACCTAGTGCTATACCTGGTACATTCTAAGGGCTGAGCCAGTATTTGTGGATTGATTGATTCAACTGATTTCAGCGTTTGAAACCTGGAAGTAAAGGGTTTTGACTCTTTATTACTGAAGACCCAGCACCCGTGTCAAATCTTAGATGTTATTGGCCTTGAAAATGAAGCACATATACCTCTTAGGAGGTTGAAAAGCACAGACGACCTTATCCTGAGGATAATAATCAGAGTTCCCTAGAAGGCTGAGAAACCTCATCTCAACAAATAAAGCACTGTCTGAGCAAGGAGATATTTATTTGTAAGTTTGCTCTGCTCATTGGCCAAGGTTTTTTCCCCTCGTCTTCACCTCTTCTTTGGACTCTACAAGGAAGCATGTATTATGTGTTTACGTGGGCAGAGTTAACACTTAGGCAACTTCGCCAGCGGCCAATAGCTCCCTGGGGCCTGAGTGATGCGTCTGGGTGCTGTGGGACAGCCGGTAAGGCAAGCTAGCTACAAGACTACAGGAGTCGTTTCGTTTTCGCTAAGGAGTTTTATTCGGAGTTTATTTACTAGCTCTCATCCCAGGGGCGAAATAAAAAAGAAAGGGAGGAGAGGGAACTGTCTAGATCCTGAGGGAACGGAGTCAAGAGCTCTTCCTAGCTCAAACTTATAACACGGACACAATAGGGCCACAGGCGTGGAGCTGGGGGTGAGGGATAGAGGAGATGACGGAACCAGAGCGGGATGTAACACCCTATTCGAGTCCGCAGGTCCCAGCTGGCTGCCCAGTGCAAACTGATCGCCTACCTAGCCAACCCAGAGTGTAAGGGTAAACAGAAGACTACCGCTCGAAGGAAGGAAAAAGCGTCCTGCGAAAGTCTCCCCCCCTAGGGCTTTAACCCGTCGTCCTGAACAGCATCTGGAAGGACTCGCTCTCTCAATCGGCCCCACGAAGCTGGCAGGAAAGTAGCATTCTGGAATGGAGTGGGGGTGGGGAGGGGGCGCGCTAGTGCTCCGAGGAGGTAACAATAGTCAGGAGTTGTCAGAGTCCTGACTGGTCAAAGTATTGAAGACAAGTTTCTTGTGCCAGAGGTTCTTAGGGGCTTTATGGGAGGATCTATGGTTTGCAGTGGGAAGGGGATACTAGAAGCTGACGTGGCTCCTGATTTTGCTAGAGATAAACGAGGTAAAAGTGGAGAGGAAGCCGGAGGAATTGGGGATGAGTTCCATGGGGAGGATGGCTAGGGGACCTTGGGAGTCATGACTTTGTTGGACAGGTTGCTGAGTGTCCAGATTATCCAGGGACGTGTGTCAGTGTTTTAAGGGTTGCTAGGAGGCAGGTGACCAAGGTTGCTAGGGCAAAGTGTAGGAATGGGCTGGTAATGGACTGGTTGTGGGTTCAAGGAAAAAGTAGAACTGTGGGGGAAATGGGGAGAAGGAATAGTCCCCGTTACCTCGCCCCTTCCCTCAAATGCTAACCCCCCCCCCCATCCCAAGCCTTACCCGACACGTTTAACTGGCCGCCCAGGAACCAGTTGATCTTGCCCTGGCTGAAATCACAGTCTTCGACTGTATGGTAAGGGGTGTCCCACACCAGCGTGTCCCGGGCAAGGCGCCCCCAAAATACTTGGGGCTCTCTGACAGCCTGCTCGCACAGCTTCGCGTAGGTGTTGAGGCTCCGTAACACCGCTGGGGCGGCGCTGCTGACCCTTTTCCGGGCAACCCAAAGGCCGGGACTGCCGCCGCCCAAGAGCGGGCGAGGCAGCTGCAGGGGCAGCCCCGGCCCCCAGCTTTGCGACCCCCTGCTCCGCCGAAGCACCCAGAGGCTCCAGCACAGATTGCGGAGCAGTCCGCGGCCCCCGCCGCTGCCACAGGCACACAAGCTCAGAGCAGTCATAGCGCTTACCCACCCCCAGACCCGACTTCCCTGGAGCCCCCTCGGATTCTGGCCCAGCACCCCAAGACGGCTGCAATCTTCCAACGCAAACTAGAGGAACTCAGCGGGGCGCGGACTAGAATCAATAACGGGCTCCTCCCACTCTTCTTAGTCACGCCCAACTGCCAGTTCTTAGGGGAAGGGCGGGGTGGGGGGAAGGGCGGAGTTGGGGGGGGAAGAGATAAGAGTGTGAGAAAGAGAAAGATGACGTTTAGCTCCGTATTCCTCCTGTGGCGGTAAGCTGGAGGGAGCCTTGTAGTGGCTCTCTCCTTCCTTCCTCCTGGCTCCCACCTCCTTGTCAGATCCCTTCCTCTTTTGGAGTCCGCCTCCCCAAGTTCAGTTATCTTTACACCCCCCCACCCCTTTTCCTGCTGTCATCTTAGGGGAAGGAGGGAATTAGGGGAGGCTATGATTGCAGGAAGAGGAGAGTTTAGGGCTTCGAGAGCATCGAGGTTCTAAGAGGCAGTCCTCGGCACCCGGTGCTTGGAGGAGATGAAGGCAGCCTTGTGGAATGTAAAGTTGAAGTTTTGCTTTGGTTTCATTTTGTAGATTGTTCTTGAGCCTAGCAACACAAGACTATTATCTTGATCTCATACAATCTTAGATGTGAGAGAGACCATAGGAATCCTTGAGTCCAAAATGGAAGTCCAGAGAGATGATGACTTGTTCAAGGTCACAAAGCTATGGAGTCCCAGAGAACTGGTGGGTATCTTGTTTCAAGGTCACAAAACTGATATAGTAAATGAGTCAGACTTTGAATCCATGTCTACATAGCTCTTAATCCAGTGCTCTTTCCACTATTTCTATCTTTAAGGGGAAGACGGTGGAGGTGGAGAGATAGACTGACAGACAGACAGAGAGACAGAGACACAGAAAGGATGCTTATTGTCCTCACTCCCCTAGGGGTGGTGTCTACTTCCAGTTTCCTCTCTTCAATCCATCCTCCACTCAGCTGCCACCTTAAGTTTCTGAAGGCACAGGCATCACTTTTCTATCCAAAAACTTTCAATAACTTTCTAAGCCTCAAGCTTAACCCTTCACAACTTCTCACCAACCTACTCCTTCAGTCTTAGTTAATAGTATTCCCCTTGACATCCTTAATACTTCATCTCCTGTTTCTTTGTCCCTTCTGGGCTGTCCCTCTTACCTGGAATGCATTCCTTCTTCCCTCCCTAAAAGATTCCTTCTGTTACTTCAAGGCTCAATTCAGGTGCCATCTCCTGGTCGAAACCTTTCCTGATGCCTCCCCATTTGTTAATGCTCTTTATCTTTCTGAAATTCCCTTGTATTTACTTATCTGTGTTTGTTAAATCGCCCCAGTAGAATGGTAAGCTCCTCAAGGACTTTGGTTTTTGTTTTTAAATCCTAGGGCCCAGCACCTCACCTTGCATAACTGGGATATGAAATAAATGTTTATGGAAATGTTGAACCTTGATGATGTGGAGAAATGTACCTAGTCAAACAAACAACTAAATGTAAACACTTTACATAGGTTTTTTTTAGATTGAAAATTCTCTGAATATTTCTCCTACTGTTCTACTTTGCCAACAAAGTACTGCAAGCTAAATATAGCCACAAACACATGTGCCAACATAAAAGTGGTAGAGACTGAATAATCAGAGTACTCACCAGGTAGTCAGTATTCTTGGAAGTAATCTTTCTAACAAAAAGAGCTGTTCAAGCATGGACACTTAGAAGGTGGGGAGTTCCATGAAGTATCCAAGCAAAGGCTGAGTGGCCACCTATCAGTGATGATGTGAAGGAGATTTTGGCAAGGGTGGAAGGCTGGACAAGATGCCCTTTCAAGTCCCTTCCAACTCTAAGCTTCTCTTATTCAAAGAAATGATTCCTGGCCTTCAGTTCAAGAATGAACAAGAAAGAACTGTCAAATGAATCAGAGTATGGAGGACACTGGGATTCTAACCCAGTTCCTGACAATGACTTGTTGGTCGTAGTTAAATCACTTCATCTTTCCTGGCTTCAGTTTTCCCAAAGGAGAAAAGATAAGAGCAGAAAACCAATTTGTCATTACCTTATGACATTTTGGGGAGGCTGTCCTTAACTCAGTGGTTGTTGGTGCAAGGCCCAGAAATGACAAATAAGTATTTGGCTGAGGACACATTACATAGTTCCCAATCCCCTCTATCTTGATGTCCTTGTAGACCTTACTCCCTTACTATAACCTAGGAGGGCAGCTTTGGGGAAGGAGACAGGAAAAGAACCCTCACTACAAATGCTTCTGTGCATATTATTAAGGATCCCAGCTTTTTCAAATTGTCCCAGTTTCATAATAGTCTCTACTCTATTTGATTCACCTATAAAAATGTAAAATCTGAAAACTATAAGGAATTATTAATTCTTCTAATCGAGGGGTCTAAACCTCTACCTTGAAACCCATTGGCAGTCTGGTGAAGCCTATGGACTCCTTCTCAGAATAATGTTTTAATTGCATAAAATAAAGTATCTAATCTTACAAAGGAAAACAATTACATTGAAATGCAGTTATCAAAAAAAAATTTAAGCTCAACGACCCCAGATTAAGAACCTCAGATTTATCTCACCCTCCTGCCTCCAGGCAGAAATATACCTTTAGATAAAGTCTGTTCCCATTCCAGATCAAGAGGGGATTAAAAGGAAATAAAGAAAGAATAAGAACCTATAGGAACAGGTGCCAAATGAGGGGAGTGTGCAGGGAGTACAATGCAATATTTGGAAAGATTAGGCAAGAATCTAATTATAGACACCAGGTTGAGCAGTATTATTTTATCCTAGGGCCTTCTGAAAGTTTTTAAACAAAGGAGTGACATAGTCACACCTATGCAGCAAAGAGGTGAATTTGGTAGCTGTAAAGAGGACGAAGTGGAGAGGGGAGAAACTGGAAGCATGGACCTTGCTCTAATACCACCTGAGTGACCTCAGGCCTCATTTATAATTTAACTGGGCCTCAGTTTCCTCATTTGTAAAATAAAGGGGTTGGAGTAGATAACCCTTGAGGTCCCTGTCAGCTCTGAATTTATGACCCTATGAACCACTGAGTTGGGGCTTAAGTTATTACAGACAGATGTATTAGGAGGCCATTGCAATTGTTCCAGGTGGAGGGAATGAGGACCTGAATTAAGATAGTGGCTATGTGAGACAGAGAAGTGGACAAGTGGGAGAGAAGATCTGACAGCTGATTGGATAAGTGTGATGGAGAGAAAAGAATAAAGAATGGCTTTACTCTTTGCAAACCTGGATGCTAGAAAGATGGGGATACCTTCAAGAGAAATAAATGAGTGGTGCCTAAATGTCAGAGTAGAAGAAAAAAGAACAGCTGAGCTTTCCCCCATACCTCCTCCACAAAGATCTAATAAATGCACCAGACTGAGCCCTGATTGGGAAATCCAAGGGAAAAAATCCACAATGAGTCATTTTTCTAGCCTGAATCAGCATAGGGAGACAGATAAAATTCTTGGTGGACACTGGGGACAAGGCATCAGGACTGCGCCAAAGAGCAAAGAGAGGTCCTGAAGTCATAACGGGGCATTGTGCTGTTGTACAGGATGTGGGCACAGGTGCCAATTGACATCTCTGTCACTTACTCCCCAGGTCCTGATCACAAATCCAGGATGGACTAAAAAAGTTCCTGTACCTATTGGTGGGATTCCATGATAAAGAGCAGCCTCATGCCCTAGTCTATGTACTAAGCAAGGAAAAAGATCAGTAGCAATTAGTAGCTGTGTGGCTATGACCCTGGAGGACAGCACAGTCTCAGCGCCAGCCTCAAGGTCAGTCTGAAGCCTACAGGGACATAACCAGGACCAGAATCTCAGAGCTTCCCAGCTGACTGATAGGGACTGAGTCCAGCAGCAATCTACTGGATCTACCAACCAGGGGCAAAACAAAAGGAGTGTTGTATAGATCCAAACCCAGGGCAAGAATTTGCAAAGCTCAAACCAGAAAAGCAGTGATCAGACTTTGCTCTGGAGTACAGCACTTTGGAAGCAGTGAAAGCCTGCAGATCCTTAGCCAGAGCTGTTCCTGAGATCCTGGATATATATATATAACACTCAATATCCCAAGAAAATAGGAGCAGGGTTCGAAGAGGACAAAAGCTCAACCAAGACATTCCCCTCAGAAGTGTATAGAACCTTGCCTTAACATCAAGTCTAAAAGTAGGAAGTAGGCAAGAAGAACAAATAAACACACAAAGAATATCACCATAAAAATCTGCTATAATGACAAAAGATGCTCAAGACACAAACCCAGCAGAAGATAATGACTTACAGACGTCTACAAGCAAAGCCAACAAGTCTGACCAGAATTGCTAGAAGAAACCAAGCAAGAGTTTGTTTTTTTTTTTTTAATTAACTTAAAAATGAGAGTGCTAGATAAAAATATGGGGAAAGAAATGAGCTTTGGAAGAAAGATTTGGAAAAAAGAATTAAAAGTCTGGAACAAAAGGTACAAAACTTTACCCAAGGGAAAAAAAACTCTGAAAATTAGAAATGATCAAATAGAAGCTCATGACTTCATGAAACTTTGAGATATATTAAAGCAAAATCAAAAGATTGAAAAGGTTAAGATAAAGAAATTCCATTTAAAATAACTATAAAAAGTATAAAATATTTGGGAGTCTACCTGCCAACACACACACAGTCGTACATGAATACAACTACAAAACATTCTTTACATAAATAAAGACAGATCTAAATAATTGGAGAAATATTAATTGCTCATTGGTAGGCCAAGCCAATATTATAAAAATTATACTATTAATCAACCTAAATTATTTTCCTTATTCAATGTCAGACCAATCACATTACTAAAGGATTTACGTACTTTATAAAACTAGAAAAAATAATAACAAAATTCATTTGGAGGAACAAAAAGTCAAGAATAATAAGGAAATCAATGAAAAGAAGTAGGAAGGAAGGGGCCTAGCAGTTCTGGATCTCGAACTATACTCCGAAGCATTAATCATGAAAACAATTTGGAACTAGTTAAAAAATAGAGAGCTTGATCAGTGAGACAGATTAGCTACATGATATTAAAAAAAATTAGCACAATAGCTGGTG